TATGAGTGTAATGGACCTAGACCATCCCTACAGTAACCATTCCTTCCTGGGCTATGAGAAATGAACAAGCTGACCCTAGGAGACCTGATCAAGTTTTGGTTGGTTTCTTTTTGACGTTTGAGAGCTTGTTAGGGGCTCTAGCAGGGGAACGCAGCTGCTCTTACCCTTGACTGAAGACCAGTTCCTCCTCTCTTTTTTTTTTTTCTTTTTGACTGAGCTTCAGAGGGACGCACATGAAGCGGTGAGGGAGAAAGGGGACATTTGCCTAGCCAGCCAGATCAGCCTGATCAACGCTGGTGATCGGTGGGGTGACGGATGTGGCAGCCAAACCACCCTCACGTTCTCTGACATTTGTAATTTAGAACCATTGAAAGAATCTAAGTAGTACTCCAGTAGCTTCCCTCAATCTAGAGGCTCCCGTATCCAAACCTCTCAATAGTGGACTAAGAATGGAGTCCAGAGTTTATGTGTGTGTAGTCAACAAATTCCAGTTCTCTCTGATTAACTCAGCATTTGTGTACAGAAGTTAGGCCTTCTGTTGAGCTCACTGGATAAATTTTAGTCCCAAGAGGCCTGGCACTTTGAGTATTGTCCCCACATCAAACTTAATGTCATTCATTATTACAATGCATCTCATAGCCAGTAACATTTTCATTTACTGTTAAAAGTCTCAATACATAATTTAAAATTTCTCTAGTGGTTGAAATTATTTGCCTATGAATAATTTATGTACTAAATAATCATTGAGATTTTCTATGAACTGGAAAAAAATCTAAATTTATAGATGTGTGAAGTATTTAATAGTAAGAATAGCAATGGGATTGTTATGCTGTATGATATTTATATTTAGTTATGTGTTAACTAATTTTGATTTTGTATTTTCCTTTTAGTATTTTGCCCCCCCCCACACACACCATTTCTTTATTCTCTGGCTTTCTCTCCATTTCCCTCTGTCTCCTCATTCTTTCCTTCTCTCTTTACCTCCATTACCTTTTCCCCCCTTTCCTTCAGACCTTTTCAAAACAGAAAGTTCTCAAGGCTGGGAAGATTGCTTGGTTTATAAAATCGCTTTCTGTGTAAGAACAGAGACCTGCGTTTGAATCTCTGGAGCCCATGGGAAAGCTCAACTCTTGGTGTGAGCATCTCTAATCCCAGAGCTCTTATGGAGAGATGGGAATCAGAGACAGAAGAATCCCCAGAAACTCAAGGGCCAGCTAGCCTGGTGTATGCAGTAGAAAAAACCAAACCCAAACAACAGCAAGGTCACTCTGTCTAAAGGTGGAAGGCAAGGACCAACACCAAGGTTGTTTCCTGCCCTCTACATGTGAGTGTGGTTGGTACACATCTTGTTCTCCCATTCTCCCTCTCTACTGTCTCTGTCTCTCTCTGTGTCTCTCTTTTTCTGTCTCTGCCTGTCTGTCTTACACACACACACACACACACACACACACACACACACACACACACACCCCTCAGACCCTACTGCCTTTTAATAGAAAGACTACAGCCCATTTTAATCAGCTCCTTCAGTCTTACCTTATGCAGCTCAGAAGCCTAACAACTCAAAACTAAACTGCATGGAATCGCTGAAGTTTGTTTTGTTTGCAAAACAGAGGCCATTTCAGAAGACTTAACCTAACAATATTTGGGGTACATACTGCAGCCTTTCTTCCCAGGCTCCTAGAGTTAAGTTGGACATCAAAGCTTAATAAGGGCAGAGTGCTGTGTACGTGGTAGGTGTTCCACATCTGCCAAATGAGCACACAAGCAAGCAAGCAAGCAAGGACATCAAAGCTTAATAAGGGCAGAGTGCTGTGTACGTGGTAGGTGTTCCACATCTGCCAAATGAGCACATGCACATATAAATGAACAGGCAAATGAAACAACTACGTAAATAAGAGCTAAATTACATGGTACAGACTTGGTAATGGGACTGGTGGAATATATTAATCATACAAAAGCAGCTTGGCAATTACTTAAAGCCTTTTAGAACAACATTCTGTTTTTAATTTAATTTTGTTTTATTAACAAGAGATTGGCATTGCCTGTGGGAAAAAGTAGTCCTGGCATATCTCACTGCTGACTCTTCATTAGGGAATTAAAAAAAAAATGGAAGCATTATAGGCATTAAAGAGGGTGGAAAGGCACTGTAGACCAAAAAGAAAAGACTTCAGAGGCTGGTAAGATTTCCATGAAGCAAGCTGCTTTCCACTTGGCAGTGAGGATTCGCTCCAGGGTGGGATGTAAAGTTGGAAAGTCCTGGGATTCTCTTTTCCCCTTCCATGTGAACCCAGGTTTTCCTTTTCTCCTATAGGAAACAAAAGGATGTTGAATCTTCATGTTGAATAGGGCTTTGACTTTGGGCCCATATCCCTCTGCATACATTCCTCCCCTATTTTCTGGGTCTTGGTGAAGTGCAGTGTCCAGGAACTGGGGCTAAAATGATGTTTAAGACTCAAGCATTTTTCAAAACTGTAAAGAGTTGTTTATCTTGTGTTGGGAGAGTCAAGGTAATAGATGCTGGAATAACCAAGGAAAAGTGTAGGGTACATATATGTAAAGAATTCATTCCTAGGGGAATTAGAAAGCTTTCACTGGAGATATTAGTTGACTTGGGTTCAGGATTGAATGTCTCTATCCTGCTTATAGATTAGAATAACCAGGAGACTAAAAGAATAAAGGAAGGAGAGAAGAAAGGAAATAATAAAAGCACAAAAGAAAGTAAGGGAGAGGGAGGTAGAATGATACAGTAACTATAATTTGCTTTTTCATATATGTTTATGTTTAAATAATAATATAGAGGTAGATGATGTTAAAATGGATTATGAGGGCTGATTTGTCAGCCTTCACTGCTTAGTAAATAGTAATATATTTAGACTATATGTGATATATCATGGGAGTACATCACAAAATAACTTAAGAGCTCATTCTCACATTAACTAACCATGGGATGAACACTCTTGTCCTTAAAAATATCAAAATTAGTTCACCTCACCTTAATTCAGTTTTCGTTGACTGATTTCACAGGCAATTCCCTTAAATGTGGGTGGGCAGGAACACAGGCACTGCCCGTCCAGAAGAATTGCTTTACCTCCATTTTGACATGGATAGCATTTTTTAACATGGAATTCTTCGATATAGTCGCCTATAGCTCTTTCCAAATTCTGTTTCTTTATGTATGCATCCTTCATTTTCAAAGGAACCAGATTATATATCGGGGACAGCTGTAAGAAAGAAAATATTCAAGCTTATATCTTTTTCTACAGAGGACCTTGTAAAACACCCTTTACTCAACCACTGACTCACAAATTTGTTGATTTGCTGGAAGCTTATTGAACAGTTATTATTGCCAGATACTATGTTAGCTTTTGAGGTTACAGTTGATCAAAAGTAGTCATGATGTGCGCTATCATCGAGGTTACATTTAAAAATAGAAAGGACGAGAGAGGCCATATGTCATCAAAACTGTCATCAAGAAAGTGAGAAGTCTGAAGTGGGAGAAGCTATTTGTAATACTGCTAAAGGAGAGTGGACTCACATTCAGAAAACATATTCAGAAACTGCTAAGGCTTCACAACTGTTCACTAACATATTTTTTGGTAAAATAGTACCTGTGGTGGTTTGAATAAAAATGCCCCCCTAGGCCCATAGGGAGTGGCACTATTAGGAGGTGTGGTCCTGTTGGAGTAGGTGTGGTTTTGTTAGAGGAAGTGTGTCATGGAGGGGAGGGGGCTTTGAGTACTCAGAAGCTCAAGTCACTTCTAGTGTGGCTCAGTCTCTGCTGCCTGCAGATCCAGATGGGGAAACTCTCAGCTCTTTCTCCAGCACCGTGTCTGCCTGCATGCCACCATGCTTCCCACCATGATGATAATGGACTAAACCTCTGAACTGTAAGCCAGCCCCGGTTAATTTTTTTTCTTTTTAAGAGTTGCCGTGGTCATGGCATGTAATCACAGAAATAAAACCCAAACAAAGACAGTACCCTAACTCATATTTCAGTTCCGTTAGAAGAAAGAAACTTCTTTCCAGCTCTGCCACATTGGCACAATCAGGGCAAGCATGTAGGAGAGTGATTTCGGATTTTGAAAAAAAAAAAAAAAGGCATTTATCTTGTTTTGCCTTCAAAAGAAAGTCAAGGCCAGATAATCTAAGATATGGGAATAGAGGACCATGGAGGAAATAGTTTGGATAAAACTATCTAAATAGTGTTCCAAGAGATAAAGATGAAGGCCATGGCAGTTTCAAAGAAGCCTAAACCCTGGCATCCAGACTGCCACAGGCAGACCTAACAGTTCCAGTGCGGCCCCCCGAAGCCTTCCTGCACAGCTTACTTTTTCATGACCGACCTTGTCTTCTAGTAAGCAAGAAAAGGTTGTGAGTTTTTCTCCTATACTAGCTAGCTCTCTTGCTGTTGTAGACACATTTAAGTAGACAGTTCATCATGAAGCTTGCTAAAATACCAAACTTAATATTAATCACATTTTAGATCTCTTCCAGTCATCCAAAATAATTAACAATGTGTACCAAATGTGGTTTCTTGATAGAACGAGAATTATTTTTTACCTCTATACAAGAGAGTTATACACAGGTTTCACCGTGCCGTTATGGCTGTCGCCTACAGAGCGTTAGCATCTGGCCCTTTAAAATACTGGCTGTCTGTAACATCCAGTGCGTGTCTGCTAAGCATTATAGACCAGAACAAAGTGGTAGATTTGTTCTCCATTCATTATTAGCTCATGGCGTTTGAGAAACTCTGAAAGTAGATTATTCGTTGACTCAAAGGTAAGAGTGATCGTGGGAAATGGGAAAGTGAAAAAAGAAAAGCTGAGAACAGAAAAGGTGAGAGGCAAAAGGGGCACCAATGCACAAGATTCAAGCCATCTCTTATGGCTGGACTGGGCAGTGCTCAACCAAGTGCCACCTCTGATGCAACCAAGAGCCCTGGCGCTTGGTACATCCACATGTACCAGGTGAGCCACAAATTTGGCTACATCTTCTAGTTCACTGAAATAATACACAATGGAATTTATCAATCCCATGCATATAAGAAAATACACCTGATTTCCAGGAGAAACAAAATGGGATTAAAGACTATTTCTCATGAGTTCCCATAAAGGGAACATTGTATTACATAACATCCTTTTAGAAAACGAAGCAGGCTTACATAATCTTGTTTCTTATAATGCCAAAACAGAGCCTTACAGGAAGCCAGTGTATTAGATTACAGCTATGGTCATCGAGCTGCTATTTCTCTGGCAGAAGTTGTAAGCTTCCTATCTCCCTGGTAATCTGCAGTAGATGTAGTTTCTCTCTGCTGACATTTTAAGGATTTGATTGTAACAGTGGATATAAAGGAAAAAAAAACAGAGTTCAGCTACTCTATAGAGACAAGAAGTAGGATATTTGTGTCAATATACAAGTAAACTGATAGGGGGATTAACATCTTTTCCTGAAAATTGAAGACTATGACAAAGGTAACTACTGAGACAATAGGCCAGCCTGTATTCTTTGTATGGAGGGAGGCCAAGGGCAAGATATTGGGATATTGAAAGGCACAGGCTCTGTTTAGTATAGTACTGCCATGGTCACTGTAATATAGGAGACAATATATACTATCATCATAATCATCAATTGTTTTACTTAGTATAATGTGACTTCCTCATTGTTCTGCCAAGATAAACCTAGCAACCTAAGTATGTAGATCATTGATTTCATTTGAGACAGAAGATAAAATGCAAACAATTTAATAGTTTAGGGTAGTAGGGAGACAGTCCATAAAGTCTCTGTATAATTAAGAAGGAAGATAACTATTTTAGTGTTAAGAGTGTCTGCCTGTGTTTGATATGCTGTCTACAAACAATAGAATGCTTCTCCTCACCAACAGGTGAACTAGTGATCATGGATGTGTAATTACCTGATGAAATTAGTAACCAATCTCTCAAAGGTCCATTTCCACAAGATTTACGACAGCAGAAACTCCTTATCATCTATTTCAAGATCAAACTTGGTAGTGTGTGTGTGTGTGTGTGTGTGTGTGTGTTGTTGTTGTTGTTGTTGTTGTACCAGGATGTTGAGCACAGGCCCCTGTCTATGCTAGGCCAGTGCTCTACCATCGAGATGTATTTCAAGATCCATTTTTGTTTTTGAGGCAAGGTCCCATTAGGTTGCCCAGACTGACCTTCACCTTACAGGTAGGTGTTATAGCCTGAGCCCCTACAGCTTATGTGAAGTGATGTGTGCTTATCTGCTAAAGGCTTTATTTCTATAACCAAAATGCAGAACTGGTTGCAAATTTTGGTTTCTGAGTTCTTTCTTCATATAAGAGAGATAGTCTGGGTGGCTCTAATGAACTCTTTAAAGACAATAAAATAGAGTGAGAAAGTAAAATTCTCAAGAAACTAGTACTATAAAAAAATGTCAGCATTTCTAAAATGTAATAAAACTGGCATCGTGAACAAAGATCAATTTGACTGGAGAGAAGAAACCATAAGACATGCATGGAAAGTTGAAAGCTATGAAAGAAAGCAACAATTACTTTCTAATAATAGCAGGGAAAAAAAGGAGTGGTAAATAACATATACATGTTTTGGTAAGTGGAAAGATACAGCCAAATAGCAATGGTATTTACATCTTTACAACTGTAATGTAATGTCCCCCTTCAAGAGTAAGCAGAAGAGTACAGACTCTCAGGGTCTCCTAGATAGAACACTATTACCATTATATAAAAATGGAGGCAGGCCTGGGGATTCACATCTATACCCCTAGCACTTGGGAGGCTAATGCAGAAGGATTGCTGAGAGTTCAAGACCAGGCCAGGCTATCAAGTTAGACCCAGCCTCATAAAACAGAATCAAAACAAAAATCAGAAAGGGGGCATGTCTATAATCTCAGCTACTCAAAAGGCTGAGCCAGGAGGATCATTAAAGTTGAGTCCATTTGGACAAAGAGAAAGTGAATGAGAGGGGATTGATTCTCTGGTCACAAGAATTACCCATCTTTGTTTTTATGTTTGTCAAGACATTATGAACATTCTTTCCATAATGACTCTTGGATGAGGATCTCCTGATGTGTGATACCCAGAGAAGACAAGGGGAGCCAAAGGGGCCAACCGAAGAGAACTATCCATTCTTGGTGACAATTTTGTTCCAACCTGTACTATAGACTCTATATAAACAATCTTAATAAACCTTCAGAAACACATGAGGGTCTGCAGAATTAAGTGTTGTCAAGACAGAAACGTCCCACACCTGTGAGTGACAGACGGCAGGAGGAGGTCATCCAAGTTGTCTGACACTACTCTATGCCTTTCTTCTCTGAAATTCTTTTTTCCAAGGAAACCATCTGAGGGCATTTGAGTACTAACATCTCTGTCTTATAAAGGCAACTGTTATCTGAACCCAGTTTGATGTTTAATAAGACAGCATCTTCAGTCATAAAAGAAACATTCCTTACTTTTTGGCTAATGAGTGCTGGGGCATCATTCAAGGATGAGGCCCAGTTGACAAAGTCAGTCACATCAATTGCCTTGTCTCCTCTGAGAAGCTTTTCTTTCAGGAGGATTGCTTGTTTCCCGGTCCCTCCTCTTATGAGTGAAATAACATCCTCTATGAAGTTTTCACTAGTGATGTTTACTGGAAAATAAAAAAACAAGGAAGACTTGAAGTATTTGCATCTCTGTGGTCATTTATCCAGATGGCATTTGATAAATGTGTATTATGTCTTTTAGGATAGCTTATTGTATTTGTTGAACTTTAATTGTAAAAAATTACACACATAAATCTCCCCTCCATAATCTAAGAGGGCAATTTTTCTCAGTAGTCAATTTATAGAATTCAATCATCTTTGTTTTGAAAAATAATGATGGTACAATCGATCCAGGTGGATTGATAACTTACAGCTCATCATATAAATACAAGTACATACAGGACTTTGGATGTGATATATATATGAAAACTTACCTTCATAATGATATTGTATAAAGTATGCTTTAAATTATCTTGATATTATAGAAATATTAGCGTCTAAAAAGAATGAGATAAAAAGTAAACTTGTTCCCACTTCCAAATCCTATTCCCCTTTCTCTGTTTCTCTCCAAACTGAATCACTTTAAACACTTGCAAAATTTTTAAAGTCATGAAGTATTAAAGGAATCACAAGATGTTTTTCTCTAGCCTTTGTCATTTGTACAAATGAGAAATCTGAACTAATGTGGTATAGTGACTAGCTTAAGGTCACACAATTAACTTAATGCTGTGAGACGATAATTCCAGGGTTTTGACCCTTTGTTAGTCTCAGTCATATCCACAACTAGACTTTCCACATTGTCCATCTTTCCCTTCTATAGTTCCTTCATTACCAGTTGGCACCTTAGAGATGAATCAGAAGTGTTCTTCAATCCCAGCACTCAGGAGGCAGAGGCAGGTGGATCTCTGTGAGTTCAAGGTCAGCCTGGGCTACAGAGTGAGTTCCAAGAAAGGTGCAAAGCTACACAGAGAAACCCTGTCTCGAAAAAAAAAAAAAGTGTTCTTCATTTAAAGTTTAATAAAATTTTTAAATAAAAATAATTTTAAGTCTTTGAGATTAGAAGAAGATGTGAAGTCTCCAGCACATTTTCATGATTGCTAATTTGCTAACAATCAATAAGAGAAGGTTATGCTTATAACAAAAACATCTAGAGTTCCAAAAAGGTGTTGCACTAGTTGGGTGCTGAGGAAAGGTTACCTAATCAAGCCACGTTGAAAGTAGATTTGGAAAGGTAACTTAGGCCTTGTTCTTTGTAATGGACACAAGGTCCTACATTAGCCCATTTAAAGCTTGTGAAAGTTAAGGAGAAAAAGGAACGTGTCTTCAAGACACTTTGCCACCCGTGACCAGTTTTCTATCATTGCCACAAAAGATACTCAAACACACGTGCCATGAAGAGCAGCCCTTGAGCCGCGTGCTTCCCTCGCACAGTAGTGGCCTTGACAGATGTGTGTCTATGGGCCACTTGTGCTCATAGTGAGTGACTGAGGAAAAACGAAATAGTTCTTAGGTGATTTTGACTTTTCGAATTGAAGATGCTGGAGTGCTGATCATGAGAGGCAATGCTCTTAGGTATCAGCTCCGCCTTCCTAAGTCTAACCAGCCAGTCCACACTTACCTCTTTTCCCATCACCTCTCTTTAAGCAATCAGTCTTATTAACATTTCCTGTGAGTGAAAGTCCATCAGAGATGGGACGCAGAGGGATGTGTATAGATGCATCCAGTTCATACCCAAGACACTTCTTTATGTCACTCACTTCAACACCTGTGTTATAGAGTCATATGAAAATTATTTAACGTTACTATTTTGTGGCAAATATACATATGTTTCTAGATACTATTATTGAATCAAATGTGAAGATTATTTGACATGGTCTATTAACATCAGAAATAAATTCTAACTTTACTATTTTGTGACAAATATACATATGTTTCTAGATGCCATTATTGACTCAAGGGTAACATCATGTCTTCCCGGCCTCGCCTTTTTATTAATATCTAATGGGATCCTTTCATTTGGCTTATCAACTTAGTAGCAAAGAGCATATTAAATTTTCCACCTGTTTGAAACGGATATAGGTCAACCAAGGTTGTTATAGTAAAATCTTTTATAATACCCAACGGAGACAGCAACATCCAACATGTATTGAATGGTTATTATATGCCTGACATTATTCTAAACATCTTGTATAAGTTAACTAATTTAATTCTCACATTAACCTTATGAAGTATCACTCTGTTTCAGTTGAGTATACAGAATCACACAACAATATCCAATTGTTTTGGACAGATGATTTGGATATATAGCAGCTTTGTTTTGGCTGATACTATGCATGCTCACAAATAATAATCTTGGAAGTTAACTCACTATAGTTGATATATGCCTACCTAAGCACTTATATCCTTAAATTCCTTGAAGTCTATAATTTATTATCTATTTTATTTAGATATATAATATATAAATAGTATATAAATAATAAAATATGTAATAAATGATAATAAAATATATATAAAGAATATAGATAATAAAAATAAATAATAAACAATAAATAGAAATAGAAAATAAAAAGATCTATCTATCTATCTATCTATCTATCTATCTATCTATCTATCTATCTATCTATCATCTATCTATCTATCTTCTTACACTTACACTATTGTATGGCACCACCATGTCCCACTATGGTTATTATTTATTAACACAGTCATTTTAAATTTACTTTATCCTTTTCATTTTTATGAAAGAAGTCTTTCTGTGATACCCAGGCTGGCCTCAAACTCCTGGTCTTTAGCAAGCCTGTTACCTTAGCCTCCGAAGGAGCTGGGATTACAGGCATACATTTATGTACCTGATTGTTCTACTTTATTCTTGAAAGGAACAGATGAACCTTTAGGTCCAAGGTATCTCCCAACTGTAGGGGATTCATGGATGAAGCACTATGTTACTCTTTCCCCATAGTTTTGAGTAAAACAGTCTTATTCAACATGGCCTCAACTGAACTATCCCATAAGATTATAATAATTACCATATGAGGCAAAACTAAGTTTTCAACTTTATGTTAGCACATTATGTTTGTACAATCATATTGGTTATTTCTTCCTCTCAAAGACAACATTTAGAACAATTTGTTCCCACTAACACTGAAGAATATCTTGGAAGACAGTAATTGTACATAAATTGAACTAGTCTGAGGATTAAGAGACAGGCTATATAAATTGTTTCTTATACCTTCTTCCACATCTTAAATAATGTTTCCTTAGAAGCCGTATTCCCATTAATAGCCATTTCATTATAGTATGATTTGGTGCTTTTCTCAGTAATGCTGTTGAGTACTTTGGGAGCAAATGAGCCTATTCAAAGTGGAAATCAATGAGTCATTTGATAGACTGTTGGATGCCAAAGGTCAGAGCAGGATTTCTCAAAGGAACAGATTATTAGATTATTTCATTCTGAGTTTACTGAAAAGGGGCAATGAAAATAACAATGTTCACTTCAATCAGAATTCTGTTTCTAGGAATACCTTTATCTTTCATGGAAGCTTTATCCAAGACATATATCAGTTCGTAGACTCCTCCCAGAGACCCAGAGCTACTATAGTGAGTTCCATAGGTTTCCAAAAATCCAAAATACTCTCCCTTTTCATAGAAAGTTGGCAGAGCTTTGACATCATCCAGGAAAGTTGTTGTCAGAACCACATCCCGATTTCTCATCACAAATCTACCGATGTGAACTGTTCCTTTCACATGCAGAAATATCTTGTCCTTTGATGAGAAGCAGTTGAAGAAGAGAAACATGACTTTTTATCATGTCATTCAAACAAACCATAAAATCTAGAACATTCAGGGGAATGACATTTTAGCAGTGAACACTACAGCAGACCACATTAGAGTGAATGAACATAACCTGTTGTTGTTGATACTGTTTGGCAACTGAAACTCTCAGACATGCTCAGTCAGACACTTTAATGACCTTCCTGGTAGTTTCTCATAAAATTAAACACTCATCTGCCCTCATAAACATAATGCCCCTATTAAGTGCTTACCAAGGGATCTGTTTCAGGATTCCACAGCAGCATTTGTCAGAATAGCTGCAAACAGGAAAAAGCTCAAACACCCATCAACAAAGAAGTTGCTAAGCATATAGTGTTGTATCCACAGAAAGGGATTTTGAGTAATCAGTCAAAAGAAACAAACTACTGACATATTCAAAAAGTAATCTCAAATACAGGGTGATTAAAAGAAGTTCTATACAAAGGAATGCATGCTGCATGATTCTCCTCATAGTAACAGACAAAACCAAGCTATTGTAGGCGAAATCTGGTCAGTGATTGCTTCTCAGTTGGTAGGGAATTGACTGTGAAGGACATGATGTAATTTTCTTGGGGTGGTAGAATGTTCTATATCTTGTTTTGAAAATCTGTGTTTGAAGGGATGTGCTCTCTATATTTTTGGTGTGGCTTCTAAGCCCTCATGTGTAAATACAAGAATTTTATTAACAAGAATCTAACAGGAGCTTGCTTCATACATTGCAAGCCATAACTAGTTCTCCATCTTCTGAACTACATATTAATTCTCAGTGGAGTCTCAAAGATGAGCGAAATGGATCAGGATTCCTTTTGTCATGACTGTCAAAACTAGAAGGGCATCTTGAGATTTGGAGTAAAGTGGATGTGATAGTCTTTGGCTCAGCTGATTTCAAAGGTAGGTCTTAAATGATTTCCACCCAAATTGGAAATTTGTTCTTTCTTTCATCCTAAGACAATAAAAAGAATTCTTCTGGCCCCATGAGCCTCACCAGCTGCAACCCCTCGCCTAGTCCTCATTAGACACAACGTTGCATGAAAAGCTTTTTTATACATTCTATTTCCAACTCTTCTTTTCCTATTTTCTCTTTCATCTATTTTTTTCCCGAGGGAAAGGAGCATGTTGAAAATAACTCAGAGCCTTGAACCTGTTATGCAGACACCATACCACTGAGCTATATTCCCATTTACTTTAATCTAATTGAGTCATTCTGCTGCCCTCACAAAGACAAAACCATTCTGGCCAAGGTTTCCAATGACCTTCATAATCCTAAGGCCAGTGATCACCATCCTCATTTTTGACCCATTAGCACATTTGACACAGTTAATCTTTCTTCTTTGTTCAGTAGATTTTTTAGTCTGGTCCTGGAAAGTAGCACTTATCAAGCTGCAGAAGATCACCCCTGGGGTCTTGTTAAAATGTAGTTCTGACTTAGCAGGTCCAGGTGGCATTTGAAGGGCTAGCTTCCTATTAATGTAGGCACTGCTGATCCAGAGACCACATCGAGCAACACAGTTCAAGGACATTGCACCACGTGCTTTCTGGTTTTCTCTGTGGTTTCTCCTTTGGCAATTTCCTTTATATTGAAGTTTCCCAAACTTATCCCTTATTCTTCTGCTTATAAAATGTATTATAACAGTGTTGTTTGCCCAACAAAATCCTATGTTTTTAAAACATCATCTGTATGTCAAAACCTCTTAAAATTATATCTTGAACCCAGATCTCTCCCAAATTCTAGACTCCTAGCACCCACATCTTACCAACTTTCAATTGAAGATTTAACAGACCTCACATTTCATCTAACTAGAACTTAACCCTGGTCTTCCTTTCAGCCTACTTTGCTTGAAAGGTTCTCCATCAGCCACTCGATCCTTCAAATGGCTTAGGCTCCAAACACTGATATTGGATTTGATGGGAACTATCCCTTCTAAATTACAACCATGTCCCATCTGAATTCCTGCATTTTGTTTGTTTGTTTGTTTGTTTTTGTTTTTGAGACAGGGTTTCTCTGTGTAGCTTTGTGCCTTTCCTGGAACTCACTTGGTAGCCCAGGCTGGCCTCAAACTCACAAAGATCCGCCTGGCTCTGCCTCCCGAGTGCTGGGATTAAAGGCGTGTGCCACCACCACCCGGCTTCCTGCATTGGTTTTTTAAACATCATCCTTATGCTTGTTTTCACATGCTCAATCTTTTCCCAACACAGTACCCAGTTGGGCCATTTTAAATTTAATAATGAATGTCAAGAGTTGAGCTCAAACCCCTATTACAGAAAGAAAAGCCACCCTTTACAGTGAGCTTTGAGGCTCTGTGTGATCCAATTAAAGTGCCCTCTTGAACTTGTTCTCTTTCTGGTTCAATGTGACAGAACCATGTCATCAGACTCTTTCTACCTTTGAACCCCAACCACACTATCCCTAATTCAACTGTTTGGAGAGATCGTCCTTAAATCTTTGGTCTCTCATCTTCTCAACACAAACTAATCACATAATTATGCACAATATGAATGCTGAGAGTTCACTGTTATCTTTATTAATGCAAATGTAGTGTCTAAGCAGGTGTTTGGTATCAGGAAAGGAGGAGGAAGCATTTGATCAGCATCACACCAATCCAGAAAAGAATTCTTATATTTATTCTAGAGGTGGTAAAGTGACCTTTGAATCTGGATTAAGTATAAAAATAAACAGATATTTTTTTAAAAATCTCAGTCTAAAAATGTGCTTCCAAAGTAGGCAGACCAATTGCATGTGCAACATGCATAAGTGCACCGTACCACTGTTTGGAGACAAGGTCTATAGTAAGCACATAGGTATCTTTCTGAGAGGCCATGTGATACAGAAGCACAATCCTCCATCTTAACTCTTCATTGTACTAATAATCACGGTGATTGTTAAGTGGGATGCTCTGATACTCAGGTGTCAGTCAAACAACATGCTCTGAATCCTTAGAACACGTTCCACTCACTAACACCTAGTGTCACGCTCACTGACTACTGTCCACTATCTGAGAGTTCACTGCCTTTGGCAGTTTGCTACCTGTTCTAGATATCTCTGTGAAGATTTTCTGGGTTACTTTTATTTCCTATTACCTTAAAAAGAGTTTGGTTGGCTTGAAATAAGTCCTATCAAAGTCTTTATATGTATATACATATATCCCAGGTCTTACCGTCCTTGATAAATATGTCGATAATCGTTGAAAATTTTCACTCTTGAAATATGAAAATTTAAAACCAAGAGAAGAGTCTTCAGAGTCTGTAAGTTCTGTAGGGTTTGAAGAGTTTTCTTCTGGAAAAACGTCGTCAACTCCTCTTACCCGTGAACAGCACTTTACTTCAGTGATTTTAAATTTTAGAGCCAAGTTTGCGTTAATACTCGAGGTCCTCTCCTGGAAGATGTTTCTGAATATTTGAATCTCCTCTTCATAATTCTCATTTCTGAGATTTGTATCAGCCTTGGTCTAAACGTGTATAATAAAAAAAAGAGCTGTTAAAAACAGATGCAAATCAGGCAGCGGTTTGAACAGCAGTAGAAGGAGTGAGAGCTATCTAAGGCAGAGGTGCTGGAGTAGGATTTCTGCGGTTCAAATACAGAGTCTGTGTCTCAGTTTCATTTCTGTGGCTGTGAGAAACTACCCCGATGAAAGCAACTTTAAGGGAGAATGGGTTTATTCTGCTCAGGATTCCATCACTGTGAGGGAGGTCAAAGTAGGAATCCGAAGCAGTCGGTCACATTGCATCCGTAGTTAAGAGCAGGGCAAGTATGAACTGATGGCTACTTCTGCTCAGTCTTCTTTTTCTCCTAGTTTAGGACCTAACCCCTGCGAATGGTGCTATCCACGTTTAGACTGTGTCATTTCACATCAATTAGCACAGTGAAGACACCCCTCCATGGACATGTCCATAGGTGCTTCTATATTGTTTCACATGAACAATTATAACTAACCATCACAACCCCTCCCCTTTTAACTTGGCACAGGAATGCATCACCTTTAAGTTAAAACCTCCTTTCCCTTGTCTTCAAAATTTGTGTTTATACTATAATGTAAAATATAGTCCATCTTTAAAAATCCACAGCTTTCAAAAGTTCAGACACCTTAAAAGTTCAATATCTCTTAACTCTAAAGGCCTATGATGTTAAAAAAAAATGAAATCATATTATTCCAACATGTAATGGCACAGAATAAATGAACTGGGACATGAAACAATAACACACAATCCTCTCCTGAACAGCTTCTAGAAAACTCAAAGGGAAAAGTAGCAACTCTTATACCTCCATATCCAACATCCAGGGTTTGTAATACAATCTGGGTTCCAAAGGGCTTTAGTAGCCCTCTTCCTCCAGTCCTGCTCCCTCCTCCTCCTTCAGTCCTGCTCCCTCCTCCCCCAGTCCTGCTCCCTCCTCCCC